CCTCAGTACCAATGTGGACACAAGAACAAATGGATATAAACTGGCCATTAGGAAGTTTAGACTTGAAATTAGACGAAGGTTTCTAACCATCTGAGGAGTGACGTTCTGGAACAGTCTTCCAAGGGGAGCAGTGGGGGCAAAAGACATATCTGTCGTCAAGACTAAGCTTGATAAGTTTATGGAGGGGATGGTATGATGGGATAGCCTAATTTTGGCAATTAATTGATCTTTGACTATTAGCGGTAAATATGCCCAATGGCCTGTGATGCGACACTAGATAGGGTGGGATCTGAGTTACTACAGAGAATTCTTTCCTGGGTGTCTGGCTGCTGAGTCTTGCCCACATGCTCAGGGTTTAGCTGATCGCCATATTTGGGGTCAGGAAGGAATTTTCCTCCAGGGCAGATTGGCGGAGGCCCGGGGGGGGCGGTTTCGCCTTCCTCTGCAGCGTGGGGCATGGGTCACTTGCTGGAGGATTCTCTGCACTGTGAAGTCTTTAAACCACAAGTTGAGGACTTCAACAGCTCAGACATAGGTCAGGAGTTTGTTACAGGAGTGGGTGGGAGAGATTCTGTGGCCTGCGTTGTGCAGGAGGTCAGACTAGAAGATCATAATGGTCCCTTCTGACCTTAAAGTCTATGAGCTACCCTTATCAATCTTTTTTATTTTGATATATATATATATATATATATATATATACCCCAACCCCCCCCCCAATCTATCATTTCACTTCCCCACTGAAAAAGGATGGGCTTTTACCCAAAGTTGTCCTCTTTCTCAGTGTTAGAATAATAGTTTTTGGACATCTAAAGTCATGGGGGCAGGGCATCAGTGAGGGTCCCACAGATTGAGAAGACAGGGATTGACATGGAGCCAGTGGTAGGCAGTATGTTTTGAAGGGAGGAATGAAGGGCGGGGGCAAGGATGTGGGAGTGGGAGGCAGAGCTGAAGACCCCCAATACCCTCCTGCACAACTCTAACCCGTTTTCCTCTCCATACTCTCCTACCCTGCTCTGAGCTCCTCTTTCTCCCTAGAAACAGCATCATTGGGGGAAAAGGGGTAAGCCTGGTGCCCTGTCCCATGCCTGGAGAGAGCATGGGGAAATGGGGACTTCTAGGTTCCCTTCCCCTATTGGGGAGCAGGGGAGGGAAGTGGAACCCTTGAGCTCACCCCCGACCTGATGGAGCAGCCACAGGGAGGGAGTGTAGAGGATGTTGGGGGTATTTGTAGGGGAGGGAACAGATTGTTCTTTGGGGCTCAAAACCACTGCCAGAACAGAATCAGAAAAGGGAAAGTTGGGGGAGCAAAAGCCCTTTTGAAGACCATCCCTTTTTCACCAAGGGATCAAATTCAGTTTTTCATCAGAGCTCTAGTCAATGAACTGGGGTTTCTAAAGACAGGGTTTGGCTGGTCCCCTACATCTTCTCCAACCCACCACATTCTTGCCTGCTGCTCTGACCACGCCCCCACTGCTCTGACCACTGAGCTATGCACCACTCAGCTGCCAGCTCCACTTTCTCCTGGCCACTCTATGCCCCTGGCAGGCCCATGCCACGCCTTGAGGGGAGGTGGTAGAGCTGTGAAGAGCACATGAACCCGCCGGAGGCAGGCAGGGGCTGAAGAGTGTAGATGCAAAGTCTCTGCTCCACCTCTGGGCCCTTTGAGGCACAGGGGGCTCTGCACATCCATCTGCCGCTGCAGCACAGGGAGTTCTGGGAGCTGTGAAGTAGCCCATTCATCTCAATGAGGTGTTCTCAGCTGAATGAGACACCCATGCAGATGAATAGTCTGAAAGAAGAGGTGTCAACCGCTGCATTCACCTTAGTGGGTATTCTCAGCCCTCCCTCCTGTGGACCTGTGCCAGGCACTGAGCATGCCTGTTCTCAGCTCCCAACTATGATCTCAGAGCTGCGCACTGTGCCACACACCAGACATGCCCATTCTTAGCTTCCCACTTCCGTCAAGGGCTCCTGCACACCAGTCAGAGAGCAATAGCTTTGGAAACATCTTGAGCCTGGCCCCTGGTCCCATTGCTCAGTGTATCAGGGCAGGCCGGGGCTGTACATTTTGGGGGGTGGGGGTGGTCAGGGCCTGAGTTTTGTCTCCTTCCTCTGCAACCCAGAGAGTTATAAGAATCCAAAAATGATAAAGCTGCTCAGGCTGAACTTTCTATCTCCGGAACCCCTCATCCCACCCTCAAATGCACCCAGGCTCCAGCAATGAACAACGATGGCCAAGCTGTCGTCCAGCTCCAGCTTCCCTGGCTCCCAGTGAACAGCAACTGGGGTCTCTGACAGTTGGGGGCAGGGAGGCCAGACTGTGCTCCTGCTCCAACATGGGGGTGGGAGGGAAGGGGCCCCCCACCCCCGCAGGTACCTGCCCCTCACAGCTGGCTGTAATCAGGGTGTTTTCTGCACTGTGAACTGTAGTTAACCCTTTGACTCCCGGAGTTGTCTTAATGGCTAGGAGCAAGCTTAGGGGACACATGGCAGCAGCAGGGAGTACCAGGAGACGCCTGATGCCCGAGGGTGAATGGGCACCCTGTCAGAGCTGAGGGGAACACCAAGGCGCCCACTCCCAGTGTACAGCCAGTGAGTCCAGGTGCCAGATGGAAAGAGCCCATCCTGCTTGTGTGGCAGGGACATCCCCCCCCAGGAGACGAGCTGGCCTGAGGGTGCGGAGGGCCATGGCCTGAAGAAGCAGTCATGAGCAGCAGGGCCCCAACCCCCTGGGCATGTGGAGCCTGCCTGCCCACAGACAGATCCCATGCCTGGGGCCCTGCAGATAGCTGCTTGGGGAGACACGTGCTGTGCTCAGAGGGTGGGGCTGGCAGGATGGACACCCCTTAGCACCCCTCCAGCCACAGTCTTCACCAGACCTCTCCCGGGCCGGCTGTGCACATCCTGGGGTCTGAGTGCCATGGGGTATGAGGCCTGGCCTCTGTAAAGGAGTCAGTGTCCACCTGGTGTCCTGCAGGGGGTCACCCTGCAATAGGGCAAACCCAGGCCCGAGTCTGGGCTGCTGCAGGGGCAGAGCACCAGAGACTGATATGTGCTTCCCAGAGGCATGAGAAGGGCCCAGCGCTGCCTGCCCTTGGAGAAGGGGAGTGATTGCTCTGCCCTGTGAATAGGCTGGAGTTTGCAGGAGTTTCAGCCTTTTCAGCTGGGGTCAGCAGCCAGGGGTTTGGTTTGTGAAGGTGCCACAAACCCAAAACTCTTCTCAGCTGCCTGCCCTGGAATGCTCTGCTCCCCCTGCATGGGGCGGAGGATGCACACGGAGACTCCAATAACGGATAAACAGAGGCTATTGCTCCATGGATTTATTACTCTAAACAGAGGAACAAAGGGAGGAGCCCCCAGAAATCCCTGCCGGGGGAGACAGGGGGCTGGCCCATCTCGCTGGGGAGGAGCAGAGAACGAAAGGCGTGACAGCAAACGGAAGCAGACGGCAGCGTCCAGCAGCCATGCACACAAACCTGCCCACGGGAATGGGTCCTTGTGGGCACAGCTCCCAGCAGGGACAGGAGACTCCTGCAGGGTCCGGGCCAGCCCCAGGGGTGGGGTGGGAGACTCCCCACAGCACAGAAAGCAGGAACAAGGCACACGGCAAGGTCACCGCACTGAGCGACATCGATCAAGGCGGGCAAAGAGGGCACCAATGAGGCCACGGGCGCTGGCTATGTACAGTGGGGAAAGGCAGGTGCCCAAACGCCCCCTGCTCCAGGTCCCAGTCTGAAGCTGTGCGCAGAGTGCAGGTCTCCCTCAGTCCCGCAGGCTGCCAGCACCCCCACGCCCCGCTAGCCCCGTCTGGAACCCTGCCCAGTGACCATGCAGCAGTAGGTTAGGACGAGGGGCAGAGAGTCATGCCCCTGAAGATAGCGGTGATGGGAGCTGCCCTACTGCCAAAGGGAGTCACTGCAGTCAGCAGCGAGGGCTAGGGGATGCTTTTCATGGCATCTCCCTGTGCCATGGCCATGCCTGCTCTCTGGGGCAGGGGCCGCAACAGAGCATTGGGAAGACTGCCCCCTCCACTGCTACAATGCACACCCCATCTCCTCAGCAACAGACACACCCGAGCCCAGGATCGCAGTGGGGGCCCAGGGCTGATCTCCTGCCTCATAAAGGCCCTACCTGGATGGGGGGAGCTGGCTGCAACTCAAAGGGGCCCTGGGTTGGGGAGTGGTTCTCTGCCATGGAGGCCTTTCCCAGGCCCCACCATGGCAGGAATCCCATAGCAGGCGGCAGGACCCTTCTCGCCCTCCCTGGGCCTCACTGCTGGCAGTGCTGCATGCTGAGTGTGGAGCTGCTAGCTTTGGAGAGATGCTGGGTCTGACCCCACCCAGAGCTGAGCGCTTGACTCATCGGCCCTGTCCCAGCCAGGGTGAGACAAGCTGCCGGGCTGCTCCTCCCCCACCTTTGGGGCCCACAGCTGTAACAAGGCCTAGCACTGCCAGTGCGCTGCTCCCCACTCTCTGCAGGCCAGGCTCAGACACACCACAGTGGTGCAGGGACTACGGGGAGATGCCAGGGGCTGGGACTGAGGCCGGGGAAGGGTCTCTCCAGAGCTGGGAGGAGCAGGTGCCCGGGCCTCGCCGCAGCAGGGAAAGTGGGCAGAGTAGTAAAGGACGAGGAACGGGCTATTCTCCCTAAGGGCTCCCCTGAACAGTGTCACTCAGCAAGGCCCTGCTGGCCCTGGCCTTGCAGGGAGCCAAGCAGGTGCTGCTGGTGGCTGCCTGGCGGGGCAAAGTCCCCACCTTCCGGCAGGACGCTTGTGCTTGTGTCTAAGGAGCTCAGAAAGCCACCCTGGAGCCCGCGGGTGCTGACAGACCAGGCTGCCCTGGCTGTGAGCTAGGTAAGAGCCTGCCTGCAGCCAGGCATGGCACCTGAGGGCCCAGGAACCAGGGCCTGGCAGGGAGGAGCCACACACGGGCTGGAGGGGGCAGGGTAGCAGGGGTGGCTGAATCCAAGAGCCCTGGTGCAGGATCAGGAAGGGGAGTGGTGGCGCGTGTGCCCCACGCTTGAGATTTGGCTGGATCTTCCCTGGGAAGGACCGACCCGGAGCAGGCTCCCTGCAGAGGGGCTGTCCCCCCAGTGAGTGCAGCCGGGGCCCTCGTCCCTTTGCAGGGGAAGGCATGAGCCCGTCCACCCTGCTCCTCCCACACAAGGCTGCAGGGGAGCGAGCGCCAGCTGCAAAGCAATCATGGGGTCAGCAGCTGGCCAGGAGGCAATGCCACGCCCAGGGGACCGACGCCTGGAGGAGAGGAGGTGCCACATGAGCCCAGCTACAGACTGCCCTGGGCTGGGTGCCCCCAGGAGAAAACAGAACAGAGCCTGGCCGGCCTGCAAGGGATTTACAGGGGAGGGGCAGCGCCAGCCCACAGCTGCAAGCAGTCATCGTGTGTACAAAATATACAAGGGAGTGTCCTTCATTTGCACCCCCCACCAGCCCCCTCCCGCTGGCTCCTCGGGGGGGGGAAGGGGGCGGAGGGGTTAGAACGGGAAGTACTTTAAACATCTTTAAAAAACCAACCTGTGCAAAAATTGTGCCCGTTGGTGAGGGGAGCGGCCAGTCCCAAGAGGAAAGTGGGCGCCAGGGCCCCAGGGAGCCTGGTTCGAACCTGCTGCAGGGGGCAGCGCCTGCCTTCCTCTTGCCCCATTTACAGACTCATTTAACACACCTGAGCCATGATCAGAGAGTCAGTTGGGGGCCCTGCAGGGCGCGGGCGGCTCCCAGCTCCCTCGGGGAGAAGAGAGCTTGTGCGTGTGGCTTGGGATGTAGTTGAGACCCCCGCAGGCTTGGGCGGAAGGAAAGGCTGCGCGCGTCCTCCGGACGGAACCGGGGCTGGTTGAAGAGGAGGGGCTGAGTGGGACTGTTGGCGCCATGGCTTGGAAGGGTTTCGGAGTCGGATGACCCTGAACGAGGGGAGAGAGAGAGAGACAGAGACATCACAGCCCCTGCCACCCTCTGATCAGCCTAGGGGGGAGCAGGCGGGCGCAGGATGGGCTGAGCTACAGCTTGGGGGAAATCAGCCAGCATGTGCGCACCGGAGGAGCCCCGTGGGCATGGGACGGTTCTGGGTGGGGGACTCATGCTGCAAACGGGATGCTCCCCACACTCCAGCAGATGCCAGGTATGCCCCGCTCCCCTTTGCTCGGGAAGGGGACTGCCCTGTGCTGGCTCCCAGGACAGAGGGGCTGGGTGGAGACCCACAAGGATTTCCTGTCCAGTTTCTTGGCTTTGCTGACGAGTGGACGAGCCCTGTGCCCTCTGCCACAGTTCAGCAGGACGTGGACCCAGCGGGCACCAGGGCCTAGAGAGGAACCCCAAAGGGTTTCAGTCTCTTGGCCCCCCAGTCTTTGGGGAACCCTGCACACGGTGAGCGGAAGCAGATCAGATCAGATCTCCTTGTGTGTGAGAGAGAGGAGGTTTCTGGGCCAGCTCCGCACCCTGGTCACTCATGCTAACAGGGCTGAGTTACCCACACGTTTATGGGCTCACATACAGCCATAGGGCCTCCTGCAGGAGCATTCAGCGAGGGGCTGGGGGAGGGTGCTCAGCATAGCAGGGACAGGGCTCCTCTGTTCCTGTCACAGCAGGGGAGGCTGGAGGCACCACGTGCCCCGAGTCGCAAGGAGTGGGCTGAACTCACCTCGCTCTCTTGGGGAGAGGGACACTGGTGCTTTGCCCAGCAGCCTCCCCTCGGAGCCTGGCGGGGTGCTTGGCCTGGCTAGCGCTGGGCAGAGGGGATTCAGGAATGCTGACAGTTGCTGCCAGGGGCTGGGATCAGAGCTGCCAGGTCAGTATACAAAGGAGGCACAAGCTGAGCCATCTGGAGAGAGAAACCCAGGGAGCAGCTGAACTCCCGGATTTCAGGCCAGTTGGCTCCCACGCCCTGCTCTGGGGCCTGTTACCGCCACCCCGTGGTGAGGGGAAACCATTGCAACAATGCACCGCCCTGGGCCAAGCTGGAAGGGCAGGGAGGGGAGAAGGGGCCAGCCTGGTACTGACACATTCAGCCAGTCTGCCCCCACTACAGCCCCACCCTGAAAGGCTCCTGCCGCCCCATGCAATTCCCTGCGCGTAAGAGAGAATGAGACGACGTACCAGCTTACTCCTCTATCCCAATAGAGCAGGAATCGGGACCCAGTGCTGCCCAGGGCAGGAGCAGGGAGGCAGGCAGAAGGAAGGAGACATTAGAGAGATGCTCAGAACAGACTGTGACTCTACAGGAGAGAACAGGCTGCAACGACTATGGCTGATGGAGCTGCGCTGCGAGCAGCTCAGCCACGAAGCCCCCCGAAGCGCAATCCCCCACCCTCGGCACAGTGAGTGGGGCCCAGCCTGCCCAGAGATGGCCCCTCCCCCGCAGAGGATGAGCCCAGCGCGCCGCGTGTGGCTCATGGTGACAGCATGCATGCTCAGCGGCCCCAGCGTGGCAGGCCCTGCCTCTCCCTCCCTGGGTCAGCAGTATGGAGACAAGGAGCAATAAAGCCAAGAGCCTGCGCTCTTCTCTGGGTGTGCCCGGGATCTGCTGCCAGGTGGGCTCTTACCCTTGGAGGGAGCTCACAGCTGGAGCGCCAGGGCCAGTGATCAGATGTGGCCATCACTGGAGGAGGGAGACCAGGGGTTTTCAGCCCCCCACCACGTTATGCCTCAACTCATGTATTCATGAATCTTCGGTTGGGGGTGGGAGAAGAGAGAATCTCACCAACTCACATGGGGAAGCCACTATCACACTTGCAATTGGGTTGCCCTCTAGGGGCTGCAGCCCAAAGAGCAGAAAGGAGGAAAGGGGGTGGGGTGGGGGGCTGGAAGCAGAAAGACAAAAAGGTGAGGGAGGAGGGGACGGCAAAGGGAGAGGGGAAGTGGAGATATAGGGCAAGTTACCTCTCTGGGAGCCCCACTCGCCCATGCCCCTGGGGGCAGCAGTTAGCTCCATATGATCATGGCAAGTGGGTGCTTTAGGGGAGAGTTTCACTCTCTGCTGGAGACGAGCTGCCTGATGCAACGATCCAGCCAAGCAAGCTGCAAGCAGGGTGGCTCAGCCCGCAGCGAGTATGCACAGCACAGACCCCTTGCCAAGCCACAGCAGTGCAGCCCCCCACCAATCAGTGCCATGCCAGCACAAGGAGACCTCCCCTGGCCCCCGGGCTGGGCTGTTACCTGGCAGGTACACATCGACTGGGGGGTCGCTCTCTGACTGCGTAAGGCTCCTGTGCTCGCTGCAGCTGCTCTCCGGCAGGATGTCTTCCATGGAGGGCAGGCGGCTACCTGGAGTCAGCAGAGAATGCGGAGAGCTTAGTCCTGATGCAGCGAGTGGGAGAGAGACAGAGGGCTCTGTGCTGCCTTCCCTCCAGAGGAGAGGCCAGTGCCAACAAGGGCCCCCACTGGCATGTGCCTGGGGAGAACAGGTTCCTTCCCCACTGCCCCTTGCCGCGCCCTGCAAACGCTGCCAGGTGACACGGCCAGCGACTGAAAAAGGCACTTCTCTTGTCTGCAGCCGAGACGCTTGAAGACACATCAGGCCTAGGGAGCCCAGCGAAGTCGTGCAGCGCCTCCTGCCATTTGTCCTGCCAGCCCTGCCCTGGGCACTGATCACAGCACCAGAGGGCGAATCCTACCAGCACTGAGCCAGCCCCACGCATGCAGGACACAGCCTGGGTCTTGTCCACCGAGCAGCGCTGGAGCGGGGAGATGGCCACCTGGCATTGGGCAGGATGGAGAACCCACCCCCGGTACTCTCCTCCCTCCCCATGTGGAAGCCATCTCCCACAGCGGATCAACAGGCAGCCCGGTGTCTAGGGAATGAGATCTAGGCTTTTAAGTTGCAGTGAAATTTCCCATCAAGTGTTTGGGAATGGTGGGTGCTGCCTGGCACAATGGCCAACTGAGAGCCTCTGCATCCCTCCTGGCCCTCGGGCGCAGGCTGGGGAACATGGCGACAGCAGCAAAGGGGAGGGGAACATACACAGCCAGCCTGCACTGCACTACTGATCTGCCCCATCAGCCCACCCTGGGAGAGCTCAGCTCCAGGGAGAGCCGTCTGGGAAGGAACGCGTGAGAAATTTCAGTCACTGTCACTTCCCTAGTTCCCAGCGCGGTTTCCCCTTCAGCTTCGGCCACTGTCCAAATGCAGTTTTTAAACACTCCCTTTGGAAGATCTGAGACACGAGAAACGCTGGAGAGTGTCGCAGAGCACAGAGCTCTGCAGATCTTGATAGCTGGGGATTGGTCCTGCTTTGAGCAGGGGGTTGGACTAGATGACCTCCTGAGGTCCCTTCCAACCCTGATATTCTATGATTCTTCACACAAAGATCCCTGTTGCACAAAGTGCATGTTTCACTGGGCCCCAGCAGACACAGATCAGGTGCTGTGTCTGTGCACAAGCACTAGGGGGCGCTCAGTCTCCAAGGAGATCAGTGATCCGGGCATGTGATTCCAGGCTGAGACCACATCCAACCCCAAGAAGCACCTTCCAGGGGGATTAGAAGGAGCCCTGCCATAAGCCAAGAGAGCAGGGCCAAGAGGCTAGCAGGGGGTCACTTCCAGCCCCAAACTCCACCCTCTAGACTGACTTGTCTCATAGGTATGGGCAGGACGTACCTTGCTGCAGGGACGAGATCTCCTCGATTTCTTCAGCCACCATGCTCTGGAAAAGGAGAGAATAGGACAATCTCTGCAGGCTGGAACCCCTCCTCTTGGGCTCAGTATACTCTACCGACGCGCTCAGCAGACTGTGCCCAGGATGGGGGGCAGCCAGTCTGATGCCCTGATACAGGGTGCCCAGCATTATCACACTAGTGCCATACTGGCCTGGGGAATGAGGGTGTCCACCTGTCCGGGCACACCACCCCCTGCTGAAACCCCCTCCTGGAGGTTCCCAGGTGTCAGATGCTGATTGTGGGTGCACTGGGCAGGCCCAGGCTGGGGGGTTCAGAGCTAGGAAGCTGCAGAGCCAACTGCAGTGACTGGAGCCAGAATTAACCTAGATCTCTCACTAAGGATGCCACCCCGGAACCCTTTTGCACCGGCAGGAGCATCCCATGTTAACAAAGCCCTTCAGGCGCCAGCCCCAAGGGTTAGAAATGCCCTCCCTGGCTGTAATTGTAATTGTTCCCATTGTGCCCGGGGGGAGGGGTTGGCAGCATGGGAAACCCAAGGCACTGGGGGTGGGAGGTGGAGAGCTGTGGAGTTAAGGGAGGAGGGGAAGTGTTCAGGTCTCCCCGGGAGTGGACTCCGGGCTCCTTCCCGTCCTACACTAAAGGGTTTACCCTGAGCCCTGTTACTCAGGAAGAGCCTGCCCGAAATGCAGCTCCCCAGACCAGCACCCGTAGCCAGCTGTCATGCTGCAGCCCAGGGAGTGGCCCTTCGCTGGTGCAGGGCTATGGGGCAAGGAGCAGCCAGGGTTGAGCAGCGTTTGGGATGGGGACTTACTCCAGGAGAGCTGTTCTCCCTCAGCACCAGCTCAGCCCCGCTCAGCGCTGGCTGGGAGTCCGAGTCCTCAGAGAGCTTCTCCTCGTCCTCTTCATGGATTGGAGACGAAGGAGATCGTAATGCACTGGGAGGGAGGGGGAAGAATGATGTTGCAGAGAGCCACAAAACACAGCGACTTCCATTCCCATGGCACCTCCCAGCCCCCGGCAGGCACAGCACAGTGGAAACGGCAGAAGCCAGGAGGTGCACAAGAGTGCAGGCAGGGGAATGTGGGATCACGAACCTCCCTCTCATAGAAAGGGCCACAAGGGCATAAGCAGCCGCTTCAAGTGCTCAGACCCCTGGTGCGTCTCATCTGAGACACACACCAACAGTCACTTGCACAGAACCTGCTCAGCAGGGCGAAGGGCCACCTCAGGCCTGTTGGGATCTGAACCTGGCATTCCCAGGAGTTTCAGCCCCTTCTTGCAATGCTTGTCAGGGCTCTGCTTCCTGACTGGGCCTCCACGTGTCAAGGGGAGGTTCACCTGCAGCCCTGGGCTTGGGGCGCACGATACCAGAAAATGCTCAAAGGAAGCATGGGCATGGAACTGGGGATGCAGGGTGTGAGAGCACGGCTGAAAAACCAGCTTGAAAATCAACTTTCTTCGGCGAGCAGTGAGCCCTCCCTGGAGTCCTCCAGCAATCGCAAGACAGCCATTTCTAAGGCTAAACATGCAGGCAGCACCCCAACCTCCCAGCTCTGAGCAGCTGTTGTCCGCGCACTGCTGCAGGGTTAGCAGTGCCAGGAGAGCTAGGCGGCAATGCAGAGCCATGGGCCAGGCAAGCCAAGGAGGAGATGACAGGGCTGTACTGTGCTGGGGAGGACCCGAAGGGCCCATGTGAGGAGCAGACTCCTTTGTTCCTTTGTTGGGGCTGACCTGTCTGGAGATTTGCTCCGTTTGCTCTTTTGAGGGCCACTCTCCATGGCTCTGTCAATCCCGGCTAGCGGGCGGCCGGCAGGGGGCAGCCCATCCACCACGCCGGTGTAGCTGATTTCCTCGTACAGAGGAGCGGAAGGGATGGATGGGGAGATGGAGCGGAGGCCATTCAATGCTTCCAGCAGCGAAATGGGCTCATATCCTGGAGGGATGTTGTCGGAGCTCTGCAGGTGAGAAAAACAGGGGTAATGTTAGGCAACCCCACAAAATTGGACCCAGTGTGAAACTGGGATCCCTTCTTTATTCTTTGCACAGTAAATCCTTTGCTCCTTTAGTGGTTAATTTAAAGGGGCACCATCAGCTTAAAGTTTTGTGCGCACATCTGTTTCAAACAACAGTCAAAATTCTATAAGGGAAAGATTAGAGAGAGCAATATCTTATGTGCTTGCTATTGGTCAGTTTATTTCTTTTGCACATCCAACAGCCCTTCCTGCTGCTTCCTCCACATAGCGAGTTTCCTTTGTTGTCTGTCTGGGTCTTTCACATGACTGGGAAACCGGCGGCTGAGGGAATATGCAGTACATGTTGATGGTGTCCTGTTAAAAGCAGTTAAACCAATGTCAAGTGAACCCAATTATTAATCACCATCATCAGTGGCAAACTGCACCTCCATTCTGCACTGCGATGCTCATATTTTGGGGGCGGGCCGGTAAATTCACGAAGGGAAGTTTTTATTGCGCTGAGGAGGAATATAAAGAATATGTTCAGCTCAGCATCTCTGCCACTGACTGAGATATTATAACCAGTTCACTTTGTGATGCCTTTCAGTGCCAACAACATGTGCTCTGACAAAGCACAAGTGCCTGGTAGAGGCTGGTGCATGCATGCCGGAGGACATGGCAGCGAGGTACAGCACATTGTGAGTTTAGGCAGTTGGAGAGGCAGTGAGGGATAGTGGGATAAGCAAGCAATGAAATACTTAATTGCACTGACATTAAAACTGCCCCTAGGTTCCGGGATTATTGCCCCACCAAGCCGGAGGGGGCACTGTTTACAGACACCAGCTCAGAGCTCCTGTTTCAGGAGGCAGCAGACGTGAGGAGACAGTAACAGATTGGTTTATATTGGGGACATTTTTGTCGCAGTCATGAGGGGCAACAACCAACCTTTTGATTTTATGTTTTATTTCTAAGCAAAAGCTCAGATGCTGTAGCTCAGTTCTGAGGCCGGAGGTGGATCCTGCAGTGAAGTCCGCAGCAGGGCCCACGCAGGGCCCTGCCAATCAGTCACTGAAACTTACACACGTCTTTAAGCAATGGCTCCCTCTCGCTGGGCACTAACCACCCAGCTGTCCCTGAAGCCTATTGCTCTGCCTACAGCACCACTGCAAGGTGCCCTGCGTGACCCTCAGAAGGCTGCATCTGCAGCTTGCGAGGAGGCTGCGGGCTCTGTCAAGCTTGTATAACAGCATCAGACAACAGCCCTCATCTTTAATGAAGAGATGCGACCTGCAGAGAACACAGGTCCCAGTGTGCCATGCTCCACCATGAGCCAAGCCCCCAGGCTGCTTGGAGCAAGAGGAAGCAGGAGCCTCCCTGGTGCTGAAGATGAGGGTAGCTGCAGGCCTCATGGGATAGGTCTAGGGGATAAAAATGGATCACTCTTCTCTCTCTTAGGTCCATCACTTGCATTTATGCTTCAGCTGTGCTTCCCCCTCCTGCTTGCCAAGGCGCAGCCCCTGCCCGGTGGTGGTGGCTGATTCGTTGCGCTGCACTCCAAGCATGAACAAGTCCCAAGGTGCAAACACTCACTCAACTGTCAACTAGAAGAGTTTTAGAGAGTTTTTTAAGCAACTTCACAACCAAAGCTGTTTTGCTTTACACAAGATGTGCAGGGGTCTCTTTCCCAGTCAGTTCTGCTTGCATCTGAGACTTGGTTTGACTCTGCTATTGTCAACCCCAACCTCTCTGAACAAGAGTTTTACAAAGAGAGCCCAACACGCCCTTCAAAGAGACCGGGGCTAGACAAATCCAGACAAGCTCCCACAAGCAATCCCATGGGTGGAACAGGAACTCGATAGAGGCTCTTTTGCCCAGTTCTAGGAGTCTGGAGCAGGAAAACAAGAAAGAAGGGGTTGTGATCTCAGGGTTCCAGGGTGGGGGCCAGGAATCCCTGTGTTCTGATACCGACTCCCTTTGGACTTCAGGCAAGTCTCCCAAAACTCTCCGTGCTTCAGCTTATCCATCTGTAAAACTAGGATAATGCTGCTTCCCTCCAGCACAGCGGGTGGGGGCGAGTGAACGTCAGAAGGGGGCGAGTGCTGTTAGAACGAACGGGAGCGGTGGCTGGGGTCAGGGCACTTTGGGCATTACGAAGGAGCGAAGCCCAGCATGTTAGCAAGCCCTCGCACGTGGAATGGTCTCACATGCCAGCGAGACTCCTGGTGATTAATGCGACCACTCACTGTTTCCCTTGCACATTTCCTGTTGGGTAGGGAGACAGTGCTCACTTTGGGGGATTTAAAGGGACAGTTAAGATCATAATCATACTTGAAACAAGAATTTTCCTTTCCCGTGTCACTCCCAGCTGAGATCATTCCCATGGACAGAGCTTTATAACTAGCTGACTAGCTCTTCGTGAGGCTGTCTCCACCTTACTCTGCACCCTGCTTCGGCAATCGCGCTGGCTGGGGCAGGTTCATTTGCTGGGTCTCAGCACTATTCCAAGGCTGCTGGGTGAAATCTGATTGTAACTGAGTTTTTACAAAATGCCACGAATGCCCGTTTCTGTTCCCATCACGGTTTGTAAAACAATTGCCCACAAAATCCCACCTTGGCTACTTATCAGCACCTCTCTCAACGTACTGACTGCCTTTCCGAAGAGTAGCGATTGGCCAACCAAACCTGCTGTCTGCTACGCTGAGCAGAGAGGGTCTTGCCCCCCAGCCTTTTGTCCGGCAAAGCATTGGATTCTCACTGCCGACTGGAAATCAGCCCCGAGACCGTTTTTAAACCGAAACTCGCTCAGCTCAGTCAGGTCAGGGAGATACCATGCCCAAACTCTGCATTCTGGTGCCCACTTCTTGTCTGTAGTGACCGCTCCCCCCCTCAGACAGGATTTCATGAGCCAGCGGAGGTTAAAGATGAGTGATCCAGGCTCATGGGGTGAAGGGGTCCCAGCTGCTCAGTCAAGAGGGTCTATTTGTGATTTGCTCTGCAACCACATCACTGACAACGAGCAGTGCCTGCCCTTGTGAGCAATGTTCAGGATGGAGGCTTCCATTCTAGAGTCCGCAAAGGAATGGGCCAGGCCGATGGGAACTGTGTTTATACCTGCAGGCCCCAGTATTTTGGGGCACAGCAACGAGTACGTACAGCGATACGTCAGAACAAGGGCAAGGGGAGCAAGTCTCTGAATGCACTGGAGCTGTCTTAGGTTACACCTTCTTCCCTGAAGGGGCTCGTTCAGAACAGCGAGCAATGCTGTATTTGACAGTCCCCCAGTGGTGCTGATCACACTAGCTCTGGGAGATCTCACGTATCTCACTATAATTAGCTGTGTACTTACACTGGTTGGGATATGAGCTTCCCCAGGAGAGCTGCACATATAGGGTTATTAGCCAGCCCATGAACAGACCTTAGAGGGGAATCAGGAGGCCAACGGCATTTCATCAAAACAACTTGCGGATGCAGATTTACACACAAGCTCAAACTGTAACCAATTATTCTTCCAAACCAAGAGCTGGGCCACCCCCCTCCAAGACAGGCACTGTATCCTGCATGGCCCAGGGAAACCTCTTCATGCTATGGCACACGGTGGCAGTTCCCGCTCAAAGTCATGCTGGCTAAACAAAAGAGCGGAGACCGGGCCTCAAACAGCTTCATAAACCTGGCGTGGAGGGTAGCAGACATTCTGAAAAGCCACAAGCCATGGAGAGGGCTGCTCCCCAGCTATCAAGGGGTTCAAGAAGAGCAGGAGGTTCGAATGCTCAAGCATGAAGCTGATCCAAGTAGGAAAGGCTCACCCCAAACACAGTTCGAAGGGCCTTGGCCAACAGCCTCAGGAAAGGACATCCACAGATGGACCAAGCCAATGGAAATGGAGCCTGGGCATGGAGAACAGAGAGCCTGCCCGATCTCCGCTCGCTGGGTGGGGGGGGGACACAGGGCCAGAAGCCACACAGGGTTGTGAGTTACTTACAGAGTGCTCATCATGGTCCATGGTCTGGGCCAGGACGGGGCTGAACGAGACGGGCGACAAAGCCCCAGGCTTCTTCCTCACGGCTCGGATCTGCAGCAGGGCGCGGAAGGCTAGGAGGGAACATTGTACAGGTGACTAGTCGGCCAAAGCAGCATGTCAGACAGCGCCACCTTGTGCCACAGCCACTCCTCTAGGACACGGCTCAGACACTGCGCTAGCGGGCAGAATTCACCATGGTGAGACCCTGCACCCCAGAGAGCAGGGGCTCCTGGGGGGAGCTGCCTCCAGCTGACTGGCACCAATTTCAGGCTAAGGTCTCGCAGCTGAACACATGGAAGCCAAGTGTTGATGTCTAGTCCCCTTAGCTCATCTGCTAGTGCAAGAAACTGGAGAGAGGAGCAGTCTGCCAGCAGACAGAGCCCTTGGCCCAAGCAGCGTCTGTAGTGAATGAAATGGCAGCTCTATTTATATGGAAATACAGCCCCATGACCTTCTGGAAGCGCCCACTCTCATAACTAACCTGGGGGGTGCTGCTTCACCTGAGCATGACCCTACATCTGCTGCCAGCGCCAGCTGTGTCAGTCTGCCCCCAGCCAGTAACCCGCAGGGAGGAGAGGGGCTGACGCATGGCGGGAGGCCAGAAGTTGGTACCCGAGTACACTGTGATGATCCCCAACGCAGGCCCAGGGCAAAGATGCAGTCACCAGGCCCGGGCACCTTGGGGCAGCTCTGCCAGGCCCTCAGACTGGCGGGGGGCCCAGGAAGACTCCCTGATGCACGAGGTGCTGCACTAGTGCTGAGAGGTGTGGGGGTGGGGCCAGGCCTGGGGCTACTCCCAGAGAAGTGGGAAGGAGAAAAAAGCAGGCCAGGCCCTGACAGATCTGCACGCAGAGTGCCAAGGAGACTGTCAGCAGCTCTCTGTGACTGCTCTGCAAGAACTGCACCAGGGGGCAGGAGATACAGCTCCCCCTGCTATTTCTCAGCCTCAGATTTGTGGCTCCAGGCCAGAGTGGGGGTGAGAAGCTGCCCACTGTTAATGGGGCATTAATTTTCTGGTAACGGGGGAGTTAAACGATGACTTGTTCACACTCTGGGGTAGGAGGCACATCAGATGTGCTGAAATCCCCCAATGAACAAGACTCCGAGATGGTCTGAAATGGGTCCTGGCCCATCCCGTACAAAGGGATCAAGGTGGTTAAACTCGGGCCCCCTTGTTTCGTTGCACAGAACGTTTCATTCACAGGCTCACGTTTGCCTCCATGTCATTACCCTAGAGTCTCTGCCCAGGGTGCAGACAAATCAATGGGTCCTTTTGAGGGAAAAAAATAGATTATTTTCTTCACTATAAATCAAGGGTTGCTATTTAAATTACAAGTTTTTCTTTTTAAAAAGAAACCTGTTTAAAATGAAATCTGAATTTAACACAAAATAGGTTAAGGCCTAAACTTACTATAATTTTTAAAAACATTTAAATAAAAAATAGAGGCTCGTGGAATCCGTATATTTATCAAAAACTCTGAGATAAAGTGTCTGCTTCATTGGTGTAAAGCAGGGATCAGCAACCTTTGGCACATGGCCCACCAGGGTAAGCCCCCGGCGGGCCAGGCCGGTTTGTTTACTTGCCGCGTCTGCAGGTTCGGCGGATCGCGGCTCCCACTGGTTCACCGCTCCAAGCCAATGGGGGCTGCGGGAAGCAGCACGGGACGAGGGATGTGCTGGTCGGGGCTTTCCGCAGCCCCCGTTGGCCTGGAGTGGTGAACCGCGGCCAGTGGGAGCTGCGATCGGCTGAACATGCGGACGCTGCAGGTAAACAAAGCGGCCTGGCCTGTCAGGGGGGTTACCCTGGTGGGCCACGTGCCAAACGTTGCTGATCCGTGGTGTAAAGAATCCAGGGAACACATCTAACTTTTGAGATCAAGCTTTATAAATATGGCACATTAGGTAATGCACTGTATTAAGGGCTTATTTTGTTTAATAAAAAATCAATTTTATGTGCTGATTTGTGTGTTTAATTAAATTCCAGTTACCATCCTATTGCAGCTTAACACAAATTCTGAGAAAAAAGTTAATTAGCTAGTACATACACAATACATCATTCACCATTTTCTAACATACTAAAAATATACAATGAATAAGAATTTGAAAATATTAAGCTATATAACTGCTTAAATAAATGTATGTAGTTATAGTGTACTGTCCTAGGTAGCAAAAAGATGTCCTAAATCTAGTGTAAAGGCTCTGTTTAGTTGTAAATCAACATGTTTTAATGGTTATATCAACCAATGACAAGGCACCTTTCTGTAGAAATAACTGAAGTACAGGTGGCAAAGCTGATTTAAATTGATTATTTCAATCAAGGCTGTCCATGTGACGATTTACGTCAATTCACCCTGCCTCCATCTCATTTCTTGCCCCAACTCACTCTCTGAAGAGCTCTAATTTTGTCACTTTGCTCAGACTTAGGTTAAAGGGAGCCTATGCATATACCAGGCTTGCAACTTATGCAGCTTGCTTGTGCTTAAAGACAACCCAGGGATTAGTCAGTTTCCCTGCTGCACTCAGCTGCTAGCAGGGGCAGCCTGAAGCCAGAGGTTACAGGGAGTTTCAGCTGCGTTGGCTGTAACTTTGTCTAAATTCGGTTTCAGGCCCAGACAAGAGCCTCTGATCAGGATGCTGCTGCGGACTTGGATGCTTGAGGCACTGCACACTACCCAATTGTCTAGGTAAGGGACATGCTGGACACCTAGGCAGTGCAGGCAGGCTGATACACGTGCCAAGCCAAAGGGGAGCACCGGGTATTGGCTGCGTGTATCTCAAGCTACAACGTGAAGGTGCTTCTTGTGGCCTGGATGTATTATCAGGAGTATGTGTCCTGCACATCAAGGGCAGCATACCAATCTCCACCCTCCAGTGAAGGGTAATGGAAGCGAGGGTGACCATCTGGAACTTGATTTTCTTAATAAAGCAGTTCAACTTCCTGGAAGTTTTGGGGAATTAGGAATAGAATCCCTCTGTGATGACAATGAACCTTTTCTATTACACTCAATTGCAGAAGAGACCGTACTTCTGAGAGTAATACACTCTTCTGAGTTGGTCCCTGAAAAGGGACAGGGAAGGTGGGCTGGGGAGAGGGAGGTGAACCGGATAACACATTCCTCTTCACAGTGCTGAGCACCCACCTGTCTGATGTTATTTCAGTTCCAAGCACTGTAAAAGTGCAGTAGGCATCTTTCAAAAGGTGGGATACATGGAGAAACTGGTATGCTGTCAAAGTGACCGTTAAGAAGCTGTCAATGTCTAGTGAGAAGGGCCTGATGGAGACAAAGCCGTCTGGTGCCATTGAGAAGGGCTGGATCGTCTCTTAAGAGTCCTGGAATCTCTGCTGGAAATGTGATCTGTGGTAGGGCAGAGGTCTAAACTGTTTCCTCTTTTAGATTGGGGTGTACACCCCCCTTGATCTCAGTCGTCCAGGAGTTTTTCAGGGTGCACGTGATGTCAGTCTTTTGAGAGAACAATTCAGACTGCTCAAATGGCAAATCCCAGATTGCAGCTCCTTTGGCATTCCAGACACCTGGAGCCACGGGGAACATCTCATTGCAAGGACAGTGGCCATGGATCACAAGGCCATATCAGTTGCATCAATAGCTGTGTGGAGGGATGTTTTTGCCATGAGGTGCCCTTCAGAGCCATAAACTGTTCCCTAGGCTTCTCTGGTAGTCTGGCTAAAGCTGTAAAATTAATACAATTATATTTGCACAGGAGAACTTGATGGTTAGCCACCCACATCTGCAGAGTAACTGTAGAGTGAGCTTTCCTGCCATATGTAGCCAGTCTCTTGAGCAACTTGTCTTTAAGCTTGGCTTTGAGATGAGACAGGTGGGAATGCTCATTGGCAGCCAAAACCACCAGTGAGTTGGAGACATCAGAGAGTGTGATAACTGATAACAATCAGAATCCATTTGAGGAGCTTGGTAGCATCTTTCCAGTCTGTTGGCTGCAGGTGGAATAGAAGCTGGGGTCTGCCGAAGGGTTTTCTCTGGCCTCAAGCAGGGCTTCTTCAATGGGAAGGACCACACTTCCCATAGCAGGTGTTTGTGCAGCATCAAAGAGGCTGTGCAGATTTTCTTGAACGAACTTCACCTGCACTCCTAAAGAAGAGGCCATTCTTCTCATTAGGTCCTGGACGACCTTGAAGTCCTCTGGAGGTGACTCTGCGGGTGACAGCCTTGTCTGGAGACTATGAAGAAGTGCATGGAGGGACATCCAGGGGTTACTTGAGTATCTCACCCTCCTCAATAGGGGACAGTCGGAGGAGCCTGGTGAATGGCTTCTTGGACTGGAGAAGGGGACCCCGGCTGGTCTGAGATTCTGAAGGAGGTCTCAGCTCCCTTGGAATGGGCCATGACCAGTATGGCCAAGGGGGGAACTCCACAGTTGGAGCCTCCCACAGTGGAGGGCACCATCTTGGGGCTTCCTTGAAAAAAGACAAGTCATAGTCCTTAGAATCTGTGCGCCGTCATGATGTCTATGAGGTGATCTGAAAGGTCAGGATGGTGACAGAGTTCCGAGTCTGAAGAGGGAATGTATGACTCCTCAGGGAACAGAGGGAGCATTCCTATTGGGGCTCATAGGGGTCTTGAGAGAGATGGGCCCTGCAGTCCGTATATAGCACGGGATAAGGAGGTCTGAATGCCGAATGAGGTAATGGGTGTTGGCAGTGTTGAAGTTGACTGTATCAGTGATGACAAAGGCTTCGGTTGTACTTATCGTGCTGGCAAAGCTGACTTCATCGGTGGTCCCGGGTATGTTGAAAATACTGGCAATGTCTACCGCACTAGATATGTCTGTGTGGATGCTGCCATGTGTGTCTACAGTATGGACAGGGCCAATGGTGCTGATAGCACCGAGAATGCCAAAGACCCTGTGGTGATCAATACCAGAGCTGGATGCTGCAGTAATGGAGAGGCTGGTAAAAGGAGACACCCAAGATCTCTTGCAGACAGGAAGGCTTAAGGAGCCAGAGGCACTGACTTGATCATTGGTGGATCCAGCATTGCCAAGGTGGTCTGGATTGTCCGTACAGGTGAAGAGGGGCTCAGTAAAGATAAAGGCACAGGACTCAATGACCCTGGAGGAACTGGAGTCTGATGGAGCTGGTGAGTGCTTATGTTTACAATGCCTCGAACCGGTACTGAAGGACTTACTGGAAGGCTTGCTCGGTGAAGACTGAGATTACAACTGCTTGTCAGCATCGGAATGTTTCGGGTGCTTTGAGGACGCGGACGGTGAGAGGAAGAGCAGTGCTTTTCTCCTGACTTGCACTCCGAGATGCGGGCAGCTGGAGGGGCATTCCTTGTGGATTCAGAATCCATCATCTAATGTGCGGGTTCAGTGCCAAGGCAAACCAACCACCACAGTGAACTTTTTGGCAGAAATCCCTCTGCTTTTTTCTTCTAGTGGGGGAAGAGATACAAACTGGATATCTGTCCCTCACAAGACCTTTCCCTAGTTAGATTAAGCAGCTTTTGTGCCTGTCCGTGCCAAGGAACAGAGAGGGAGGTGGCGGACATGCCCCTTTCGTGGCCTTGGCTCAATGCACAGGGAGAGTAGGAGTGCATGTGCCACCTAGTGGTACTGCTGGCAAAAGCCTTTGACTTGAATGCACTGGGCACCCGAATGCCTGCAGTGTAACATACATGTGCACAATCACTTGTTTTATCCAGTAGTTATTACAAAAAAAAAAAATAATATACACACTTCAGCCCGTCTCCCCCCAGTGTGTGTCTTCCTCCCAACCCAGTTCTTATCCTTTCCCCCCACTTCTGTGTACTCCTGAGTTCTACATTCCTCTACTGTCAGCAAATAGAAACACTCTGCCAGTAGGTTTCACAGCTCTCATCTCCCTCTAGTGGCCAGTTCACAAGGAAGATAACAGCCTTCTATTACTACCAGTTACTCAGCTCAAGCAGCAGAGATCTGTGCTGTGGATCTAAAGATCCCAAACCCGCTGGTGACCCATGTGAGGGTCAATATGGTTCCACATGAGGGCATCAGTTTTTTCAGTAAGTTTAAAAAAAAAGAAAAAGAAAATGATATAAAAGACTATGTTCAAAAGAACGTTAAGATTGTACAGTGAAGCACTCATAAGTTAGCCTTAAATCTGGTATTTCCTGTCCGTACAACCTTAATTTGCCTGCTCCCCAATGCAAATGCATTATGATATAGTCTTTAGTTACATGATCAGATGCTGTTTTTTCCACAGGATCTTCTGAAGACCCAGCTATCCTTTTTAATGGTGATCTGGAAACAAATAGGGGTTTTCTTTGTTTGCTTTTTTATGCATAAAGAATGCCTGAAAGGGATTCTGTAGTGTCTAGAACAGAGGAGTTTGAGAGCGCTCTATGGTGCACACTACGTTCTAGGTCTTAGAAGCCACCAGAAACCAGCCAGAGCAGCAGTATATATGAAGCCAGGCCGTGTGCGTGTGCATGTATTTAGTTAACATGATTATTTGGGACCCAACTGCGCCTTTGTGGCTTCGTCACATTTTTGTTATGTAAACAGCAAAAGCATAAGAGTTTTCTATTTAAAAAGGGGTTACTTTTGAGCAGGGAGGGTTCTTTTTCTTGGAGTACTCTATGGATCACTTGTTGATTCCCTGCTCTATTCATTCCCTCTGAGGCACCTGGCACTAGCCACTGTCAGAGGACAGGATACTGGGCTAGATGGACCTTTGGTCTGATCCAGTATGGCCGTTCTTATGGAGGGCTAGAGAATTAAGGTGATATCACAAGTATCAAGGAATTGAAACCCAAGGAATGACAAGGAGAAATGATGTCTAGTGGGACCATTTAAAAGTCTCTGTTGAAGATTTAAATATCCCCATCCTTTCAATTAAAGACCTATAAAGCTAATGCCCATTTCTCTGGTCTTTTCTCAGCAATTATTTCCCTCTCTCTCAGCTCCTCCATTACCCCTGACTCCCCCCAGCCTGTGCACTGCTTCTCGGGGTGTGGGAAATATGGTTCTGTATTGCAGTTTAAATTAATTATTACTCAGAGTTCTGTATTAATACGCTTAGTAAGGAATCTATTTGTCAAAAAACATTTCCTGAATCTTTTTTT